ACATCTGGAGGAAAGCAAAAGAAAAGATCAATTGTGATATTAGTAAAGAAATCAAAGACAAGAAGGAAGTCCACACCACAACTGATAATTGAACAAGTAAATGGTTAAATGAAATCCAGCAATCTGACAGAAATCTCTTTAACACCATCTGTGAGTATATGGAAGAGAATGAAACCACATCCTTGAAGAACTACCTCAAAAAGCAATTCAAAATTTCTCCGACATTCACACAGAGCATAATCGGTAAGCTGTGTCACAAGATGAGGATAGACTTTAAAGAGGATATTTGGAACAGCTGTTGTACCAAGATAATAGAGTGGGAAAAGAAGCAGAATATTATCGAAGAGGACAAAAGAATCAGAAGATCTGGACACAGATCTAGAATACTGGTTATGCAAGAACAGAAAGAACCTACATCCTCAGAAGACCAGGAGCAAGAGGTTGTCAAAAGAAAGAAGGGAAAGATATATACAGAGATTATTAAGGATTGGGTTTGTCATGGAATCAAATGGTTTAGTTTTTAACTGCAGGCAGAATTTAGAATGATCTATAGTAATGACCTGTAGGCAATGATTTAATTGATTAGAGAATTTATCCAAGTCAGTTAAGGAGCGAAATATTATTTCCTAAGTTGCATCTAGAGAAATAGTTTTTCAACGACAGGTGAGTTAGTATGTGAAAGTCAAAATATCCTGTAAATATCTTTGTATATATACAATAAAGACACGTCATGCTAACCTAACTGCGGGTTAAAAAAAAATATATATATATTTTTATTTATTGTTTAATGTTTTCTAATATTTTTATAAATTTTGTAGGTTTTAAAGTCTCAATTGATTTGTTAATTGTTGTTGTTTTCTTAATTTATATTATATATTGTTACTGATTGTTTTAATATACTATATATGTTTTATATACAGTATATCTATTACATATTATTTTATTATTTATTGCAATATACAAATTTATTACAAATAAGTTTTTTGTAAAATAAATAAAATATCATTTATATTTTAGTTTTGTAAATATATTTATATTATATATTTTTATTTATTAACTTGTATTTTTTAATATTTTTTTCAGTTTTGCAAGTTTTGAATCTTGAATATTTATTAGTTGAAACTATTATTCTATAAGATTATTTTTAATATCTAGAAATGTGTATTTGATATTTATCTAATTAAAAATTAGAAAAGTTAATATTAAATCTCTTGACTTTTTTATAATTCAACTTTAACTCATTTTTTTTTGAAAAATTTTATATAGAAAAAAATATTATAATTACAAAAAGTTGATACTTACAATACCTAATCTTTTATTCAAAGTGTTAAAGATTTTGTTAAATAGTTTTGATAAAAATTTGAGAACTGAAAGATAAATCTGTTTTTAAAATTACACAAAAAAAATTTTTTAAGAAAAGTTGATTAATAGAAAAGAGTTTTTTTATTATTGTGAAAATTCATAATAACTTTATTTAAAAATATAATTTTAAATATACAAGATAAAAAATTTTTTTATAATTATTAAGTATTTTTATAATCTGATCTAATAATATGTCACTTAATTAAGAATAACAAAGAATTATTTAAAAAAAAATTATAAACCTTTGGTAGAAATAATATTTAAGGGATAAATATAAAAGGCTTCAAGAATAGAAAAATAACCGAGTTATTATTTAGAAAAATAAAAAAGTGCCTACAACTGTAGTATAAATATACTGTAATACAGACATACAGTAACAATAAAAATCAGGTGACAATTCGAAAAGGATACTAATGAACCGTATGTACAATACGTATACTTCTCTTACTCCTTTCCTCAAATGGAAACAATGGAATCTTGTTAAATATAACAATAAAGGATCTGTTGACCATAAAACGAATCCGTTTTTGAAGGTATGTTGGAACAATATGTCTGGTAGGCTTTATTTTGATTCTGAATTTCTCTGATTTTGAACATCACCTCGTACCTACTGCTATGCTTACATACGAGGTGTGCTTCGGGAAAAATGTTTGAGGCGTTGGTGAATATAGAAATGATATGCTGCAGACATTCCACTAATTTTTCACAAGTTTCGGTATCTCGAAAATCGAGAGTTCCCGCGAAATCCAAGTTGCAAACATAATTTCGCTATTAAGTATAAAATGTTCGAACGGGTAAAATATTTATGGTTTATTTACTATTTTTCGAAATTTCATCTGATTTCTTTAGCGAAGATTATGTGAGTGTAGAATATTTATACCGATATACACTAATTTAATAACTGGAATTCACGCTTGGTTTAATCACCAAAATCTCGAAAAAAAAAAATTTTTGTCACAGCATAAATTTTTATAAAACAAAAAAGATCTATCGTTATTTTTCATAATAAATTACAATAGTTATTCATTCATCAAATAATTTTAATGTTATATGAACTTAATGCTAATCTTATAATAATATTAGTACAAAGAATGTTATATAAATTATAATGCAATTTGACTTGAAAATCCTAAAACCTTTAATAGTACCCTTGTGTTTCTTTTAAATTTTCTTGCAGCCTAATTGCCATCTCATAATTTGGATCAATCTGCAATGCTTTGGTCAAATCCTCTATGGCTTCGTCACCTCTCTCCATCCAGAAATAAACCAAACTTCTTTCGCACAATGCCAGCAAATTGTTTGGTTCCATCGACAATCCCGTATTCAAATCTATCAAAGCTTCATCATATTTACCCATAATCCGATTAACCGATCCCCGATTAATAAACGCCTTCGCTATGTACCCCGTGTTGTAAACATTGTTTTCAACGTTATTCAAAGATCGATCAAAGTCTGTCAATGCTTCATCATAGCATCCCATCGATTTAAAAACTTCACCTCTCAATGACAATGGACAGAACCAATTGGGTTTCATTCTTAATACATAATTCAAATCTTCCAATGCGGCGTCTAATGCATTCAGTGCATAAAATACACACCCGCGATAGTACAGTGCCCAATAATTCTGAGGTTCAATAATCAATACACTATTTAAATCTTTCAACGCTTCATATTGCCTATCCAACGAATGATATACAGCTCCGCGAGTTATCAACGAAAATTGATGATGCGGATTAATCTTCAATGCCGAATTTAAATCTAGTAGTGCCTCTGAATACCTATGTAATGTATAATAAATGGCACCTCGTTTGGAAAGAGAGAATACGTCACTCGGTTTAAATTGCAGTGAGAGATTCAAATCTGGTAACGATTCTTCATGTTCAAATGCCCGAGCACTTTCAGGTAACAGGTATTCTGCTTCATTAAGACTTACAGGCACTATCCGACTCCTCAATAATTGACGTATCTCATTTCTACTCGTCAGTGCGAAAACACACCCAGGTTCTAATTCCAGAACCTTGTCAAAATCTGACAGCGCACGATCAAAATATTGCATCGATCGATACACCTCCCCACGCTTTCTGAGCAAATCGGTATCGTATGATGAAATCTGTAACGCCAAATCCAAGTCCGATATTGCCATTCTATAATTTCCTAATAACCGACTTATTTCCCCCCTTTTTCCAAGTAACTTGACATTATTAGAATCCAAATTTATGGCAGCCGTATAATCATTAAATGCCCTGTTAATATCTCCGAGCTTGTGGTAAATATTGCCACGACTCTTTAATGCGAACACGCTGTTTGGATTTTCCTCGATAGTCCTATTGAAATCCCGAATAGCATTGTCAAATTGATTTAGTTGATGATACACTGTGCCTCGTCTCTCCAACGCAAGTGTGTTATTCTTCTCAAGTCTCAACGCTTCATTTAAATCTGCCAGTGCCATGTCAAGTCTCCCGATTATACGATAGGCCTCTCCACGATTCGCCAGTATTGAGGAAATAAGTTGTAGGTTATTTTGATTACTTTCATACACATAGTCTAGATCTGATATTGCATCGGAATACTTCCGCAATTTCATGTAGACCTTTGCTCGTCGAGTGAGAGTGTATGAATTATTTGGTTCAATGATTAGGGCGGCGTTCAAATCATCAATAGCATCAGAATACCTTGACAATGCAAAGTGAACCTCCGCACGAGCTCTTAACGCAAAAGCGGATTTTTGCAAACTAATCGATTTTATGAGATCTGTCATGGCCTCCGAGTATCTGTTCATTAATCGATAAACCTCCCCGCGAAGAGCGTACGCACGAGACCTTTTAGGGAATCGGTTGATGGCCGCATCCAGATCTTGCAGTGAGAGATCCCAACATCCGATTTGACAATATGCACAGGCACGATCACAGTGAATGGTATAGCTATTTGGATATTTGTTAAGTACTTTGCTGAAATATATTATCGATTCTTGATATTGCCCGGTATAGAGAGCAGTGATTGCTTTTTGATAGGTCAAGTTATGATGTTTTGACCCGAAAAAATTTTTAAATCTCTTAATTTTGTTTTCTCCCATTCTCATGATAGCTCTTCGTGGAGTAGGTTCTGTCAAATGTTTGGTGTTAATGAAAGAGAATTATTAAGTTTCTGACGCAACGCGGGATAATGTATTCCAGTAATGGATTATTTCTTTTTCTTTGTTTTTTTTTAAAGTAGAATTCAGATATGCATATTAGCATATAAACACAACAGCTTATATACGTATCCATATACCCTTTTTTGACTATTCATTTAAGCAAATCGTTTTCGAAAGGTCGATTTTCCTAAATCAGGTCTAATTACCTTATTTGACTGTATTCCGTTTTATCCCGAAAAGGCGTTTAACAATCGTTGTGATCGTCACGCCATCTGAGTTTACGGGGTCGTTATTAATTAAACCTTAAGTACGATAATAAATACAGCAAAACCCTTTCTAAATGCGACCCCCTAAATACCACACTGTATATTATTAACCATCTCTTAAACCGTTTCCGGCAAATTTCCTAAAAATGCCTAATAAAGAACACAATCTACCGGGAAATCCGAAGTTTGCGTTCTTACGAATTATAGTCGTGTTGTGATTTTTTTATATAAATAATCATTTTAAAATAATTTTTTCAATTTATTGATGATTAAATTACAGGTAAAAATAAAAGTATAATAAAAAGATATTTTTTAAAGTTATTTTATATTGTATAAAAAAAAAAATAATAAAGTTAAAATTAAGAAATATAAAAAATATAAATAATATTAACTAAATTTTGATTTTTGTATATTATCTTATTTATTATTAAAAAACTATTTTTTATATGTAACTTAAAGAATTATATTTCATTTATTTACTAATTTGAAATAATTTTTAGTTGGCAAAATCATTATCTATAAATTATTATTGTAAATTCTTTGAATTTTATTTACGACTTAAAATTATAATTATAATATTTATACTATATACTGTATATACTTTTTTTTTTTTTTAATAACCCTAGATCAGGCTAGGTACATATGCTTTATTAAATATTTGTATACTGTACATTTTAAATGATTCACTAAAGCTAAAACTTTACCTAACTCACTCATCACTATTTTGACTTGTTATATCAAAACTCTAAGTGCAACTTCGGGAGCGATTTGTCACTCCATTAATAATTCAGGTGAATACCCTTCTAACCTTTAACATTATTGCCTGCAAATTACTACTGCAGATTACTATCTGCTGTTCTGACCCAACTTAAAACCCAATCACTTTATTTCATAAGTAATACCTTTGAGTAGAATTTCTTTCAGGCTTTTATTTTCTTGAGTTCTTTCCTCTAGTGAAGGATCTTTACTTTTGGGAACTGATGGTTTTAAGCTGTGTATGTCTGAGGGTCAGTTGATTTTTTCTACTCTGTGGATCCCCTATGAATATTCCCATTCGATTATCTTCTCACATCTTTTGTTCCAAATCTTTTTCCTTATTTGATTGCATACTCTTTTTTGTATCTTTGATATTTATCTTCTTGCATTATTATCAATTCTTTTTCCATAGCATTTCAGATCTGTCATTTTTAGGATTAGGTCTCTCCTTATTAATCCTTTACAAAAACTTAGAGTGTCCTGACTGGTTTTTGAGATCTGTTTTATCAGTTTAGAGATCCATTTATCCATCTCAGCTATTTCTTCTTTATTATGAATAATCAACCTTGCATGTTTTTTTTCTGCCTCTTTTTTTCTCTCTTATAAGAACCCTCTGAAGTTTCTAAGGATTTTATCTTATCCTTTATTCTATACTTCCTGTAATTGTTTCTTGTATATTGGACACTTTAATAAATATTCAAAAGTTTTATATTGCTGACTACATACAATACATTTCACTTGTTTGTAAAGGTCAGGCCTTCTAGTTGCCAGTTTGTTCAAAGTTGATAGCTCATCATTCATTAGTTTTATGAAGAAACTTTTTCACTATGATTGTTTAAAGGAAGTATTCCAGGTGTATTCTTCTTTCATTCTTTCCATATAAGATCCCAAGTATGATCTTGCTGTTCTATAATTTGATGGCTCTATCATTTTTCAATTCTGTTTTGTTGTGTTCACTGAAAAGCAATTGTTTTATTGTTTACTTTTTTGACAAACTGTTTTATTGGATTATTCAGTATCTTTTCTTGCCATCTAATTTCTGTGATGATCTTGTATAAGATCAGCTCTTTCCATTTTATTGCTGAAAGTTTTAAAGCTTCTTTGGCTAGGACATCTGCTTCTTCATTTTAGTGGATCATTGAAATATGTCTTAACCTTGATAAATTGCAGATTTATGGTCTTTTTCTTTATCAATTCTAACATTTGTGTCCATAGGAACCAGTTTTTTTCCTTTAACCATTTTTTGTAAATTTGTTTTGAATCTACTTTTTCTATTGTTTTCTACTTGGAGATACAGACCTGGCTATCTGTATGGATTTTCATGTCACTATCCACTGGAACTACCAGAAGTATTGTGACAATTTCTATAAGTTCAGCATATGTTGAGGAAGGCCAACTGTCTATTTCTGTCTGAAATCTACTTTTTCTATCCATATCTCCTATCTGGATTCATGCTACTCCCATTTTCATTTCTTCCTTTCCATAATTAATAAGTGATCCATTGGAGTAGAAGATTAGTTTTTTAACATTGAATTCCAGGTTACATTGAAATATTTCTATTAGTTGATTCTTATATACTCTTTCTATAATATTGTCTCTAATAATAATCTCTTCCCATCTTTCGATATCTACCCAATTCATTATATTGGTTGGAGCTAAGGTTTGAGGGTTTGGATCTATGCTAGTAACCTTTTCCATTGTCCCTTCTAATAATATCTTAGAGCAGAGGATTGTTAGTTTTTGAGCTCTTCTGGTTGACTTTCTTGTATTGAAATATAAAACTTCATATACATCTTTTATATCTTTCTCTAATATACATTCCTTTTCTAGTTTTATACCCTCTGGGTATCCCGGGCACCTTGTTAATATCATCATTTGAGTATTATTATTATTACAGCAGTTGAAGTATTTGATGTTGACTTTGTGTTCTACTTTTCTCTGTTGTAGTTTTTCCCAGATTATGTTATACCCAGTTTTCTTTGTAATTATCCATAGTTTTTGTTATTTGTTACGGTCTGAATTAATTGCAACATATTCTGGTTTCCACTTTGTCCAATCACTTTTCCACATACATTTAAGTTGATCTATTCTATTACTTGAAAGAATTTTGATTAAGGCTTGAAATCATTCAGAAATAGGACCTTTACTGATGTTCTAAAGTAGTTAGAGCATTCACTAATTCCTAATTTCTTTAGTAGCTTGATCAATTAGCTAATCCACATACAGAAATTTATTGTTTCTTAGTGATGGTATGACTTTTCTATATTCTTATAATGTAAGGTGTTCCTTAATTAAACTATTTCTCTTGCTCCATTCGAAGATTTCTTGCCATTTCTAATTGTAAAAGGTTATTCCCATATCTTTAGCCAACTTTATTACTTGGAGTGTAAAGTTTTCTCTATCTGGTAGATAATTCAAAGAGTTGCATGTTAATAGGTTAAGCAGTTCCCAATTCTTTATCTGTATTTGTTTGAGTCAGATAATTGTTGTGATTTCTGTAGAACCAGGATCATTTAGTTTATTACATAGTTCTGTTATTAGACTTTCTCACTGAAGCATCCAGATGCTTTTCAGGTTGTGAATCTTTGGATGATATATTACACTATTAGATATGAATCTATATAGGGTACTCTTGTTTTTGAAGAGCTTTCTATATGCTGCCATTAGAGTGTTGCATATTTTCCAGGGTAGTATACTACAGTATGCTGCATCTTAAATTCTATCCTTGGAATTAATACCCTGTTTAGAATATACAGGGTTTGTTTATTTATTAATTTCTTGCTTTTAAGAGCTCTGGTCACTATGTTAATTTCTTTTAACACTTTCTCTTTAAGTTCAACTTAGTTTTTTAATTGCCGGTCCAGATTTCTAGAAATCTTATATGTTCTATCCTACTGAACTCCTTTACTACTTCTTTTTCTATACCAGCCTGAACTTCTTCTGGATAGCAATTAGAATTGTTAATAGTAATTAGGACTGATTTATTATTATTAATTTGAGAATTGTTGGCTTTGTAAAAGACTCTCGTAGTTTCGAGGATTTCTTCTATATTCTTTTTGAATCTTACTATCCATGTCGTATCATCCATAAAGGCTATAACCATATGCCTTGATTTTAATCTTTTTGTGACCTGTCCTTTAAGATCTGGATTCCAAGTGACCAACATTTTGTATCTTCTTTTTTTGTCATTCTGAATCTTGCAGAGTAAAGAATATAGAATATTTGCCATAGCAGTGGTGAGATAGTTTCCCCTTGATCAATGCCATCTCCTGCTTTTATAGGTTCTGTGAGGTCATTTTCAAAAATGACTTGAAATTCTCTGTCTTGAAATAGGCTCAGTATGATCTTGATAAAACCCTTTGATATTCTGATCTTTTCTATTGCTTTGACAAGCATATCCAAACTAATTGTATCATAGGTTTTAATGATATCTTGAGAAAGTATCCATAGTTCTTTTTTATTTTTTCTTATATCTTCACAGATGTTGTTGAGGATTTGGATTGGTTCTGATGTACTTTCTTCAGGGAAACCCACGAAGTTGGGACCTTTGAGAATGTTATTGACTTTACAGATATTTTCTATTCTATTAGTAAGGATTTTTGTGAAACACTTTCTTGTGACTTTCAATAGAACTATTGGTCTTGTGTTTATTAGCTCACACTTCACGGTTTTGATTTGGCTATAGGGTATATATGGCTTGGTTTCCAGCAAGTGAGGGTTACCTCCCATCTCAAAAAATTATTTAATATTCTTCTCAGGATTTCCTTTCTATCCTAACTCAGTTTATTAAGCATTTCATAACTAATTTGTGACTATCCTGATGCCTTGTTGTTTGGAAGTGTTCAAAGTATTTTATCTAATTTCTCTTGTAAGATTGACTCAAGAAGATCTTTATACTATAGTTCTTTAATATAATCCTTGGAT